GCCCCTTAAGGCTGCGTTTATACTTTGCGGCAGCGTAGCGTAGCGTAGCGCGCTTCCAGCGTACGCCAGCGGCAGTGCCGAAGAGAGGATGCATATCGATCTAGCTTCACCAGCGTCACCAGCGGCACGCTGGCGTACGCTAGCGTACGCCAGCGTTTCTCCAGCGTTTCACCAGCGTTTTGCTAGCGCTTGCAGCGGCAGGGGAGTAGAGACTATGTGGCCGTGAGAGAAGCGGAGTCGGCTTGTATTGTAGAGACCATATGGCCGTCGGAGACGCAGAAGCGATGTGCATTGTAGAGACTATGTGGCGTCGGAGACGCAGAAGCAATGTGCATCGTAGAGACTATGGGGCCGTCGGAGACGCAGAAGCGATGTGCATTGTAGAGACTAAGGGCGAGTGGGAGACGCGCAATCGATGAGTTTTGTACCCTCCAGCTCTCCCATAGTCTCTACTCCCCTGCCGCTGCAAGCGCTAGCAAAACGCTGGTGAAACGCTGGAGAAACGCTGGCGTACGCTAGCGTGCCGCTAGCGTACGCCAGCGTGCCGCTGGTGACGCTGGTGAAGCTAGATCGATATGCATCCTCTCTTCGGCACTGCCGCTGGCGTACGCTGGAAGCGCTACGCTACGCTGCCGCAAAGTATAAACGCAGCCTTATTCTAGCGCAGAATAGAAGGTTTTTTTTTACATACTGTTATTCTGGACGTTCTGTTTAGCAAATTAATACCAAGGCCTTTGGAAGGGAAAGTATTCCGATAAAAAAACGTTACAATTCATGCGTCAGTGAACAAGAACCCGCTCGTTTAAAATCTTATAAGTGGTTTCAGTTAGTGATTTATGGGAATCAATCTGAGTGGTTGCTTCTTTGGAAGAAGGACTCCAGCATGAGATTCGACAGCTCCAGGTCCGATTGTCCTTCTTTTGGCAGTTGCGATCTGTCCGAAAGGGAGGACGACAGAAAATTTATTGAACAAAGCAATTAACGGCTCTGTTAGAATCATTTTCAGACCAGCGATTTCCCCGTAGCTGCAGATTGTCGCAGTAAACCCAGGAGCGAGGCTATCATCGGAATGCTGGGTTATGGGTAAAAGTCACTTGAAACTCAGGCCGGCGAGCCTCGCAGCCGGCACCCTCACGCATTCTGGGCCGTGGCTGTGATCCCTGTACGCTACGCCATTGGCGCAAAAAAGGATTTCGGTGAGAAGGGCCCACGGTTCGCGAAAATAGCGCACTTCAGGGTTTACATGAAAATGTCTGTATGGTCGGGCCAGCACTTTTGACGCTCAAAAGGAGACTCGAATCCTACTTATGGCTCTCGAGGCAGCAGGCTAATCCACTACGTACGTAAGGCCCCAGCGGGGTGCTGAGCGAATAGAGTGTAGTGAGCCGGCTCAGTGGTTGGCAGTGGATGATGATGGTGGGAATAAATTGTGACAAAAAGTGCTTCGGTTTTCATAAACCACCTGCTGAGTAACTTCTCGCGCGGGTGCGTCGCGGCTGAGTGTGCAGCGCTGCAGGGGGCGTGTTAGGAGGTAAGGCTGGGTTTGGCGCAGCGCCAGTCAATTCTTCCCCAATTTTTGAAGCAAGGAAGCGAGAGCAGTTTGTGGAAAACGGGCTGGCGCCGCGCCAAACCTAGTCCTTTGACACGCCCAGCGTCTGCAGGTGGTATAAGCTTCTCTGGGAATGATCTCGCATAAAATGATACCTATTTCAAAGCCCGTTTTAAAATATTGAACGCCATTAACTTCTGATGGAATTGTTTCGACTAACAATTAAGCTTACCTTGTAGTTTTGAAGGAGTATGACGACACCAATGAAAAGCTCAACTCTAGCCAAAGCCTCTCCAGCACATTGCCGTTTTCCCATGGAGAATGGGCAGAGGTGATCAATCGCTTCCTGAATTGCAGAGTTTCAGTATTTCTGGCATAAACTACACTTTCTAGCCCTCGTGAAAGTGGAGTCAAACTGGAGGAGCGGCACCTGTACCACCTAGCCAACCTTTACCACCAAACCGAGGACATCGTAAGATTTTTTTTCCATAAGCGACGAGAATGACCATTTTTTGGTGAACTCAAAGAGGGGGTTTCTACTATGACGTGTCTACTGTGAGAGGACACCGACAGCCAAATTCACGCGCTCGGCTGTCCCCTCTGTCTCACCCACATACGGTCTCGTTCAGAAGATTTCGTACTACCACCACGTAATATTTTCCGAGCCTCAGATATAATTTTTAGCTATTGTGTTCACTCCTTATAAATGTAATTCATATACCTTGTTAGGGGTTACACCATCCTCCATAAGAAAACGTTCAGGGCGGAATTCGTGACCGTCTTTGAACACAGGCGAATGCGCAAGTATTTGATGGATTTCGCCATACACGTGGGTATCTGCAGGGATCTTTCACTCCTCTCACAGAAGTATCCCTCACAGTTCGATGGACGACATTCATAGGCAGAATATTTGCCCGTCGTTGAAGTTCCTGGATAGCTGCACTGAAAATATTCATCGACATTGAAACGAAATAAAAGAGAGGCCTACCCTCAAAGCCACAGTCCATGGTGATCATTTCGGCGCAGTAGCAACATGTTTTTATCAGTGATGTACCCCTTAGTGAAAGTCACACTGTCAGGGAAACAAAGTGATAAGCCTGGCTCCGCCCATACCAGCAGCGTAGACTCACAAAATAGTAACTCGCTTCGAGAAGAATATTACTCTACCGGAATATCCTTGACCTTTACAATTACAACGAGATTGCTGACAATCTTTGTCCCTATTTAGATGCTTCCCCACTTCACTTGTGTAGGCATTTTTTGCCTGTGTGATGACGTTGGCTTGCCTTCTGGACCAACGACCCTCATGATTTCTTCACGAATCTTTTCCTGTAAAAGGCTTTCGTATAAGTGGACAAATAGGCAACTGAGTTAAATAGAAATTTGGAGAAATAAAACAGGTAATAGGGTAAGTAGAAATCAGANAATAAAACAATAACTAAAACAAATCACAAACAAGTATTTCTGAAGGTAGGTAGTTACGAGAAGGCTCAAGTAGGAAATTGCTAGGTGATTTCAATCTTTACCAGAGTGTTGTAATTGAAAGGAAGCTTTTCTCCCCTATTGCCACTGGACACTGAAGTTCAGGATAACAAGGGGGTATACAGTACATACCTCAAAGTGAGCGTGAAATCGAAGGCTTCTTTTCCGTGAACGCACACTATGTCCCAATTGCCCCCCCCCTCCACGCAGCCTCTCCTCACGACTCTGTCTGTGCGGGTAGAGCAAACTTGCCGCCTCATATCCGTAATTGAGCAGGACATGCAGGGATTATGGCAGAACCAATTGAATTGTCTTACTTCGCATTAATGATGCAGTTATTTTTACGCGTTGGGATACTGTATACCTCTGCTTCTATTCCGAACTGATAATCGTATACTAAATAGTACTAAATAGCGCTTGAGTTACTCACCTGAACTTCTGGATGACTTGCAAAAAACAGTGTGCCCCATCTGAGGGTTGTCGTGGTTGTCTCCATACCAGCATTATAAAAGTCCATGCATACATTCAGTAGATTCTCATAGCTGAAACATTCGCAAAATTTTTTTAGTAGGTTTGGTAGGCAAAGTAGCCCGACCGCGCACGGGCCAGAGGATCTGAGTTACGGAGGCAAATTTTTTAAATACAGTACATGTCCCGGAAGTCGGGAGGGCGTGTCTAAAATATAGTTGAAAGCGCAGCGGCGCTCGACAGCGGCAGTGTGTCAATCGGATGCGTAAATCACGACAATCGAGACAACCAGGAAGAATACTTTCCATGATCGTTTCTGCGAGGTCCCAGACGGAATAGAGGCAACGACGTATGCATAAGAGAGAAAGAGACCACATACAGCATGGGCGCAGCATCAAATTGTGGAAAACTTTCCGAAAAATACGCCTTCATCCCGCATTTTTTTCGTCACCCTTTCCTATTCTACCAGCTGACTTCTCGGAGTACACCACTTTTTTGCTGCTGGACGTAGGGGAGGTGGGAAGGACGGGGTGAAAACGATCTGGACTTTTCATGAGCTGAAGTTAATACCATTATTTGACTTACTTCAAAAAGGGATTGCTCTGCATTTTCTGGTAATACGCTTGAACTAGACATTCAGGCTCCTGGTCAACCGTATATGATTCCAACGCTTTCGCTACATCCTCTCTGATAGTACGACGAAGCTAAAAATGCAAAATGTTTCTTGTCAACCAAAATTCAAAAATAATTTCCGAAAATAAAAGCTCAGAACTCACTCCCGAGATCATGTCTACGAATCGTCCTTTGACATATGGCCAATGATCGGTAGACGGTAAATAATAGGAAATAGCTGTCCAATGAACATCAGCGGGGTCGCTCTTCAATGATAGGAACATTATTTTATCAAATCCTCTCTTCTGAGAGGATCCCATTCAACATTGTTGTTGGCTAGTCCCGCCCATACTTTAAGCGTGGAAAGTGTTGTCGACCAAGAGAAAGCACTCACTTCATTGATTCTATCAGGCAGTTGAGTTCATTGGCGGCATCCATCATCCTACCGCAATTATCATAATCGTAGCTGAACCCGTATAAAGTCTTGTTGATGATGTTTCCTATGAAAACCTGAAGACGATTCCTTTAGAATTCACCCAAAGAAGGGTTTACATCAGTTTTACCCCTGTTTGCCCCTCCCTCCCAGCGGGTTTAGAAGGATATGTGCTACAGTAGAGATAAGAATTCACCTGAATTGGCTCACGTAGACAGATTTCATCCTTGTTCTTGATGGAAGCAAGGTGAGCAAGGAAATCCTGAGCCGATAGCAGTACCTAGAAGTCATAGAGCTTTGGAAATTGGTTCTCTTTCATCTTTCTGTTCAACCTTGATGACTTGGCGAACAAGAAAGTTGGTTCGTGATGAGGATCAATTTACTCCAGGAGAGTGAAAAAAGTTTCCAAAGAAAAATCTTCGGGGGGGGGGCATTTTGACTTTTTGACTTCGCTGCTTTCGTGTTCATTGCTTGACAAGAGTTGACAGGTATTCTTAACAGGCGTTGACAAGTAGTTTCTACGAACTATAAGTATCCCCTCTTGATGGCAACACGACAGTGGGATGCAGCGAAAGTGCAAAATGCAGGAAGACGGCCAAGAGAATCGTAATTTGCCGCTCCGCTGCGCGCGGCGATGGGCGCGTTTTCTTAACTCGTGTTAACCTGTCGATTGGAGCACCGGACTTCATGTAGACCCCGTCATCGTAGACATTCATGACTATTTTCGGTTCTGGATTGCTTGTTGTCGCCATCCTTTACCCGGAACCACCGCAAAGCACATCACTGGTATGTACGACCCCCCCCCTTTTTATGCGTTGGTACGACCCTTACCCCTCCGGCCCTCTGTGCCTCCTCATCGAGCTGTCGAGCGGTTAGGGGGAGGGGGTAAATAGCACATGTGAAACGGGAAAAGCTGCGAGAATACGACCCGCCCTTCTACCAATTTTCAGATTTTCCCCAACTTCCTGCCACTTTTTCCAAATTTCCCGTGAATAAAGTGACAGTTTTACCGCTGGACGAAGTGGGTGGGGTGGGTGTGGGCTGGGGGGCGGGGGGGGGTGAACAAGATCCAAGGTTTTCATGTGCTGAAATTAAGAACATTAACTGAGCTCACTTCAAATAGGGATTGCTCTGCATTTTCTGGTAATATGCTTGAACTAGACATTCAGGCTCCTGGTCCACCGTATATGATTCCAACGCCTTTCGCTACATCCTCTCTGATAG